TAAAAATCAAGTGGAGAACAACAACAAAAACTTTATAAATGAAAATGATTGTTTGTTTACGTATTTTCTCAGTCAAAAAAATCATTCACACCGCCGTTTGCACTCTTTACGAAACTTCTTCACTTTTTGAAAAATGAAATGGTCCTTCCTTTTACTCCTGATCAACAATCAAATATCTTTTCTTGAATTATGAATAACATGAATGGATTAAAATATTTAATTATTATCTCAAAATGAACCTTCATTTCGGTGTAATATTGAAATTAGCTGGAATTTTTCATAATCTCTGAATAGTGGTTGAACCAACGGGTCACAGTTGTTTAGTAGCTAATAAAAAGGAAAAAAAAAGGTGTCATAGATTAATTTACTCTAATCCTGCTTAAAAGCATTTCAAGTTCCATAGCTAATGAGGATTCCCTCTTGTTTCTTCTGCTTTTCCTTGTCAATATTTACTCCTTTTCCTTTTTTCTCCTCTACCATAACCCATAATTTAGAACTTTCAAACTTATTCCATAGTTTCTGGGCACTTATTTTGAAGATTACTTCAAAATGAATTATTAGTGACAATTTTACTAAAAGTTAATATTTTCTTCAGGTTCTTTGTCTGTGACTGTTGATCTGAGTAGCTTATATAATTTCCTGATGTTTGTCTTTTGTTGTTTCAGTGAATGTTTTACCCAAGATGTTCCAGATACTTACTAATGTTACCAGTTTTAAGCTTAAGCTATTTTAACCCTTACTATTTACTATATTGTTTATTCAGTTTATGCTCAAATAGCCATTTCAAAGAGATGTAGTGTTTTTTTATCATAGGTTTAAAGTTTTATATTTCAACTAACAGATGCCAGTTGAAACAATTTAAAGGTAATTTTCCTACAAATAATGATGAATAAATATTAAATGTGCAGCCAACCCATTCCCTTGGATCATTGCATATATACAATCTGATTGTCTGGTGGACCATTTACAACCATCTTTTGTCATTCCATGTATTATTTTCCATAAGGAAAATTGCATGGTGTTTGTTTTAAAGCAAAGTAGACTGACTGCAATGCATTCAGCACAATAAAGTGCTCAGGTTTGCTAAGTAGCAGTGGGTATTTTTGTCCACTGGATGCATCTGTTCATTGTCATTTTACTGGGTGCAAGAAAAGACAAACTACCAAAGTGAGTGTTTTTTGACAGTTGTTATTTCTATAAAAAGAGTCGAAGGGGAGGTATTCAATTTAAATCAGTTTATTTGACATAGTACAATAAAGTCATGCATCTGTATAACACTTAGAGGAAAAATTATATTCAAACCAAACAACAACAAATAGTAAAACACTTTCCTCTTTTTATGAGATTTTCTGTTTATGCTCCTATCTTTGTAATATTTCTTTAAATCAGTCAATGGAGAAAGTTTTTGTGTGTGTGTGTGAAATTTCCTCACAAAAAGAAACATTTTTGTTCTTAATTTTTTTTTAGGGGTTGACCATTCAGGAAATACAAAGAGTGACAGATTGATTTTGATACATAATTTTAGGAATTCCCAAAAAAATGAATAGTTTTCCTGTAATGTACTCTTGAAAAGAAGCGTTTGATATATAATTTTTTCCCATGACTAATTAATTGTTCAGGAGATACAGAGCATGACACAGACAGACGTATGCCTATTATATGTAAATAGAGATATGTTTACTCTTAACTTGATGATCAACTCATGCTTTAGAGTTGTACCATTTTTGTTTTTCTGCATATGTGAGAATTTTATGTAGTTTGAGATTATTTATCAAATGCCTTCATCTTTGTTCCAAAATTAACCTGTGAGATCACATAATACTGAACTCTGTCATAGTTTACCCAAACTCTTTAGCTTGAGGACCACACAAGAGACACACCTACCAGGCTGAGGACCCCTCACCTAATAGCTTAATATAAATTTTAGTTAATAGTTATTTTGTGGTACTGCCATTGTAGATAGTCTTTGATAAAAATATCACAAGCATAAATAATTTTGTGTGATTATATTTATTGCAAAAGGTTAAATAATCACTGTTCAGTGACGGGAAGTTTTAAAGAATATTTCATCATCTGCTGAGACTGTCTTGCAGACCCAGTAGAACATTTTATCAAACAATGTTGTCCTTTGTTTGTCATTAGTATGGGTTAATTTTACAGCTGTTACTGATCCACCTGTTTATATTGAGCCAGCCATCTTTGTTCATGGACCCTTCTTTAAGGTTCCAAAACCCAAATTCTGATGGTTAAACTGTGGAAGAATCTACTTTTTCAATTCTGCTTTCTGTTCCTGCAACACAACAGTTTTGGGATCACATGGCTGACTCTGGAAGAGTCAGTCAATGTCTGTTTTTGAGTTTACTTATGTAACTTGACTTTGAGTATGCTGGTTTAAGTTTCCAAGTTACATCTTCTCCTACTTTGTTTTATCCATCTAGAAGCATGTATCAGTTGTGACTTGACCTTGAGTATGTTGGTTAAGTTACCAAGTTACATCTTAACTTACCTTGTTTCATCCATCTAGAAGCATGTATCATTTGTGACTTGACCTAGAATGTGCTGGCTTACCAAGTTACATCTTCACCTACTTCGTTTTATTCATCTAGAAGCATGTATCATTTGTGACTTGTCCTTGAGTATGCTGGTTTAAGTTTCCAAGTTACATCTTCACCTTCTTTGTTTTATCCATCTAGAAGCATGTATCATTTGTGACTTGACCTTGAGTGTGCTGGTTTAAGTTTCCAAATTACATCTTCACCTACTTTGTTTTATCCATCTAGAAGCATGTATAAGTTGTGACTTGACCTTGAGTGTACTTGTTGATAAGTTTTTCAAGTTGCACTCTCACTATCTAGAGGTTCACCATTTTACATCATTTTTCATCTTATGATGTGGATGGCAGTTTAATGTTTTTGTTTTTCAGCTTATGCACTACCAAAGCTCTACGCTAAGCTTCATTACTGTGTGTCTTGTGCTATTCACTCAAAAATTGTGAGAAACAGGTCTCGAGAGGCTCGCAAAGATCGCACCCCACCTCCAAGATTTAGACCACCTCTTGGGGTGAGTATTGAATAAAGAATGACTTTTCATTTTTGTTTGTGTAAACTTATTAAAAGCAAGTTTTTCTAACCATAACTGACTTAATACATCTGGACGTGTGTAACGTATAGTACACACAATGTTGTAATCACGTCATAACTTTAGATAGCTAGCATTTCTTTGTTGTTTTATTATTTCATGAAATGTGTATAAGGTAATGAAATTTGAAGGTACAGTAACTGAAGTGTAATTATTAATGTTTTATTTTTACTGTTTTGAATGCATACTAAAATGTTTGAATATAATCTTTGGATTCTAAATTTTTTTTTCACCCTCCTTAGGATATGGGTGCTCGTCCAGCTGCTCCCCGTGTTACTGTCAAATAAAGCAGTTACGCTGTAATGAATATTTCCTTCTGAAATAAAAGAAATATTATCATTGATTTTGTTTGTTTTTTGAATCATTGAAAATTCATTAAAACAATTCAAATTACAGATATTTTTGATGAATTAAAAACAGTTCATGCACTTTGAAAAAAAGATAATTCTGAAAACGAATGTTTTTAATTATAAAGAGACTTCAAAAATGCTGGAACTTTTTAGATCTTTTTTTTTGTTTGTTTAACTTATAATAATCACTTCGTTATGATCCAGACTATGGTGCTACTTCAGAATGGTTTAACCATTAACAGTGGTTTAACAATAGTGAGAGATGCTTCTGAGAATTCAACAACAGTTTTCAGATTCCACACATTTCTGATAAACTTGCTGAAGGAACAATGAAAATCACATACATTATCAGCTTTCATATGTATTCTAAGGTTCGTTATATTGTTGTTTTATGGGCATGCAATTTGTCAACTTTATTGTTCAGAGCACATTTGTTCAACATAAGTAGTAGTAATAAATTTAAGTTCACTTGGGAAAACTTTTGTCGTTACGTGTGATAACTGAATATTAAGTGTGTACATAGTTGGTGCATAACAGCTAAATTGGGTAATGGCTAACAGAAATACTTCAGGGGTTTAATAATCAAAAATAAGAGTTTAAAATTGAGATTCTATCAACTAGAGAGAGTAGAAGTAAAAAAGCTGATGAATTCACTAGTTCTGTCTTTGGATTATATTCAGAAAATCAAGAAAGTTTAGCAAACTATCGAATTCCTCGATTGTCTAAAAGTTGTCAAACCTCAAACAAAACTTCTGGTGTAAAAAATGTCAAACCTCAAACAAATCCTCATTGTCTAAAAATCTGTCAGATCAAAACCAAAATCTCGGTTTCTGAAAGTTGTCAGACCTTTACCAAAACTTTAATTGTCTAAAAGTTATCAGACCTCAACCAAAATTCAGCTACTACTCGATTTGATGTAATGCTTTGCTCAACTCATACACATAAATGAATTTTATAAAGGTAAACTTTGAAAAATGGAATATTAGAATAAATTCCGTTCTTTTATAATCTAACGTATTCCAAAAGCTGTTAGTCTACTTCAGTTTATTTTCACACTAAAGGTCTGTATTCAAATAGAAGCTGAGGAGATTCATCTTTGTGATAAGGTAAAAAAGGTGTATAGGAAAACAGATAAAACAAAGTAAATAAATTCGATGACGAGGAACCCACTTTGAGACTAATAATGGCTGGAGACGGCTTAAATGGGTAATGAAGAAAAACTTTATATAAGTTTAACATGACAGCAAATG